GGGAGATAACACTTTTTTAGCGTTCCAAACTGCAATAATTGCCGCTTTAGTTCTTTACTATGGTGGTAAAAAAGCTGTATCATTCCTTTTTTGTATTGTCTATGCGCTCATAGTATACGCACTTAATGGCGGCTTCACACCTATAAATGTTTTGATGGTGGCGCAAGGCTTTAATATACCTATTCTTCTCCTGGGCAAACTATCACAAGCCTGGACCAATTATAAAAACTCTTCAACGGGTCAGTTGTCTGCAGCGACTGTATTTTTATTATTTGCTGGTTCATTAGCACGTATCTTTACATCCGCCCAGGAGACCGGAGATTTAATGATTATTCTAACATTCTGCTTCTCAACGTTTGCAAATGGTGTTATTGCTGCCCAAATTTTGTACTATTGGAATAAACCCGCCAAAGGAAGAATAGATAAAGGCGGCAAACCTACAATGAAGGCTGATGGTGCAGCTAAAAAGACGAGGAGCAAAAAAATTGAATGAATGAAAGAGATTAATAATCTAGCGTTGATTCCTTGTTTAAAAGGAAGCTGAAACTAATTTGCAAAATAGAAAAGATAGCCTCTAATTAGAAAACGTGAATTTGGGAATGATTTTGAAATAGTGTTAATTTTGTTGATTGAAATAAAGGCAAACTATGAAGACCGCAGTTTCAATGAATTCAATTATTTTGCATAGGTATAGGAAAAATTCATCAAATTTATATTTTCAGTACGCTAATTAAACAATTAATGAAGAATGAAGATGGAACTCTTCAAAATAAAAGAAATAAAAAGGCAAACAATGGTTATTACGTTCTTAAGAGTACAACAGTGTTTGCGTATTAGGACCAATAAAACATATCATGTGCGGCTGTTTACTTTGTAATATAATTAGCTTTTTTTTACTACCATACAATCATGCACGTTTAAACTTATACATATATACACATGCTCATATCCATATGTGCATATAAGTCGTAAGACCTTCCGCTGCACGTACTAATCCTCTTTCTGCTGTAGAAAATATTCCTGCAAAGCAGCGAGCGCACGATAACGATGTGATATCTTGTTTTTATCTTCCTTAGGCACTTCTGCATAAGTTAGTTGGTAGCCTTTCAGTTGAAAAATTGGATCCCAGCCAAAATCACGACAACCTCTTGGTTCAACTATACTGCCTTCTGTTATGCCCTGAAAAATCATAGGTTTACTATTAACGCTTTCAGCATAACTGAAGGTGCATATTGCCTTGGCACTCTTGTCATCCCAGCCAGCTAACAAACCATGCAGGCCTTCGGGTTGCAACTTTTCGAGAAAAAAAGTTTATACAAGGTATGATGAAAAAATGATTAATTGCTTACCCGGCAAACCTTGCAAGCATTGTAGCATAAACACGTGTCTTCCTCTAGTCCAGGACCCCCAAACCCCCCTCATTCGAAAGGGGGCAGTCGCCACTTTACGAAAAGCCCCACCCCCCCTTGGGGACCTCCCACAGACACCTAGGGAACCGTTTGAAAATGGGGTAAAAACGGCATTTTCCGAGGCAAACTGGCAGTTTGAAGTGGAATATAACCCAACTAACGAAAACCGTGGGATTTTTAAATAAAAGAAATTATCCCAAGTTGGTTATCAGGCGAACACCTTTCTGCGTAGGCGGCCTTCGACCGCACTTAGGGATTATAACCCTCACTACGTAGAATTCTCTTCTGTGTTGCCAAAGAAAGGGGGCTGAACAGCTTTTGCAGAGAACACCTTTCTGCGTAGGCGGCCTTCGGCCGCACTTAGGGATTATAACCCTCAGGTAGTAGAATTCTCCTTTCTGTTTTGCGAAGAAAAGGAGCTAAACACCTTTTGCAGAGAACACCTTTGTATATTTTTAATGCTTACTGGGTTATATCCTATCTTCTTTTGTCTCTCATTCTTTTGCATATTTCGGAGTTTGACAGCTGAACTCCGCCATTTAATTTGCATGTGCAACCAAAGTCAGACGCATGATTTTGAAGGTGTTTTTTTTTAATGAATTGTGATTAATTGGTTAATATTAAAGTCGTAAATCAAGTTATAACTAATCGAGTAAAGTGTAAAGTGAAGGGGAATACAAAAATGAATTGGTGAAGTGGCTGCTTTAAGGAGAATAGGAGTGATAAATGTACGCTATTTTCCAAATTTTACAAAAAAGGGCATATTTCGAACCCAATTTGTAAATAAATTAGTGACCAAAAATTAGAATAGTGTATGTTAAAATAATGGGTAGACCCTTGGCTACAAGTGGATCGGGTCACCCCTTTGGACGCAATACCCCGAAATAGGTGGGCCACTTACTAAACAGTACCCTAATTAGTTATCTACTGAACAAGCGTATCCAAACTCCAACCTCTAACCACAAAAACAAATGATAAGGAAGTTAGTACACAGAGTTGTAGTCAGAAAATAATGTGAAGGGGGTTTTTGGGTTTCTCCGAAACCAAATTGTACAATTTTATTTTTGTCTTTAGCTTCGTTTTATTTCGAATCGAATTAGCTTTAATAAATTGTAAAATTTCGATCAAGCCGAATTAATAGTAAATAGAGTTAAATTCGCCTTAGTTTCGTTATTGTTGGAGGTCTAAATGTTCCCGTCTCGGCTCAAAATATTCCATAGTTCTAAGAGATAACACGGGCTCAGAAATAAGCTCTCTAACACTCAGCCTCATTGCGTAAGTCGTAAATTAGGCTGAATTGTACGACTCGACAACATTAGCATTGTCTACTGTTGTGCTGTACTGTTCGAAAACTATGCAGTGCTGCCAAGTTTTTTCGTTTTAATACACTAGTCGGGTGGAAATTTTAGGCAACGACGTTAAATTTTCGATACGATTCGACTTTCGAAAAACGATATAAACAAAATAAAGGACAAAAGAATTGTGGATTTGAAAGATTTTATCCTCACACCCCCTAACAAAATAATTCAACGCACGTCGATCTTTTCCGATTTGTATTAAATTTCGTTTACATAGTTCTAGGAAAGACATTATAATTTTAACCAATTTTATCGTCTTTTGGGACCAAATCGCTGCTTGTTTCCAATCAAATTGAAATGTATGTATGTAGACATGTAAGATTCAATATTCGCATTTAAATCTTATGCTCCCAACTTGCAATGATTATCGTAAAAAAATATTTTTTAAAACTTTTATAATCAAAAATATTTTTTGTAACGTTTGGTGTATTCTTTCTGATTTGGGTAGACATATTTTTGTTAAAAAACTGCTTTTTGCTTAATAATGGGTATTCGTAAATTAAATTTGTTCTCAAAAGAAAATTTCTTCAAAAGCTATTAAAATTTACCGAGCAAAGTTTTTTTTTATAAATTTTTTCTGATTTTGATTAGATTATTATTTTTGTGAAAAATCTTCAGAATATAGACTTTCCAAAAAAACGTTTTTTTCTAATAAAATCCATATTTATTTTCCTAAAATTTTATTCCTAAAAAAATCTAAAATGTCGAATTTTTTTCCAAACAGTTTTTCTCCGATATAAATAATGAATTAATAATTTTTCCCCAATCAATTTTTGTTTCTAACATTAATTAAATTTTTTCCGATTAAGGTAAACATTTCCCAAATTATATTTCTTATTTTTTATTTTTCTCTATATAAAATTTCTTTTATCTCATAAAAAGTACAATTTTCGCAAAAAAATCTTATTTTGATACATTTTTCTAATTTTGGTAAAAATATATTTCCCTAAAACTTCTTGATAAAAATAATTCATTAAATATGAGGCACATTCTAAAAATAAAGAAATTCACACAATTTCTTCGAGTGTAATAATTATATAGGTCTTGAAAGGGTTAAATAGTTCAACCGGAATAATCAACAAACTTCCTTAGCAAAAGTTCAATGACTTTTGGAGAGACTGTAAATGCCGAAGATATGACGATAAATTAAAAAAATGTTTCTTTCGAAATTGCCTTGCGAAAATACTGTAGACTAAGGGGGGTACGGCGAATTTTTTTTCTGCCACGGTCTAATGTACATATGTACATACATACCTAGATACACATGTATATGTTCCAGAAAGGCTTTTTGTTTAATTTTTTTCTACCTATAAAATTTTTCCATTACCCTTTCAGATGAAGATCATGTTCTCTCCAATAATTCCGTACAGCCTGCATGGCGTTCCAACTACAAGCCCGATAGCACAGAAGCCATGACTGTTACCACAACCGATTTGGTTAGTTGGGCCTTTCAAGTGGCGCGCGGCATGGACTATTTATCGTCACGTAAAGTGTTGCACGGCGATTTGGCTGCACGTAATATTTTACTCTGCGAGAATAATGTGGTGAAAATATGCGATTTTGGCTTAGCACGCTCCATGTATAAAAGCGAAAACTATAAGAAGCAAGGTGAAGCGCCCTTGCCCATCAAATGGCTAGCTTTGGAATCGCTTAGTGATCACGTATTTAGCACCTACACTGATGTTTGGTCATTTGGTATTGTTTTGTGGGAGTTCTTCTCATTGGCGAAGGTCCCCTACCCCGGTATGGATCCAAATCAGAGTTTGTATTTAAAATTGAAGGATGGATATCGCATGGAAAAACCACCATTCGCCAATGATGAGCTATATGATATTATGTTGGAATGTTGGAGTACGAATCCGGAGTGTCGTCCACTATTCCATGTGCTAGAGAAATATTTTGCGCGCATGCTAGGCGATGATGTGACAAATGTAAGTAAAATACAATTTTTTTTTTATATACCCTGGTCTGAATGTCGTTCGCTGAATATAGCGGCTAGCTAAGCTAAGTAGGTTGGGTTAGGTTAGGATAGACGGGCAGGAATTCAGTCAGAGGCCGCATAGACCCAGCACCACGTTTCCTCATATCAGATTTTCTAGAGAATTCTAGCAAACCCCTTAAGACTTTTCCCTCAGCATTTTCTCCGGAGTGCAAAGATTCTATATTTTGCTTATCTCTTCCACTTCCGCAGAGCTCTTACTTGCCGTGGGTCCTTAGCCTTACAAAGCCGCAGCACATAATTCTGGTAAATGTTTTGACAGAACACTGCCCGATCGCAATTACTGCGGTGAGAATAGGTGCACTCGCGTATTGATAGTTGTCAAAAACTACCAGGTTTTGCTGTTCGCGTACACAAAAATTTTCCAGCAAGACAAAAAGCTGATCAGAGTAATCTGTTTGCAACTTATGAAAATGAAATTTTATGTTTAAAATAACTTTTTAGGACTAAAATGTTTCGGAAGAAAGGAAATACTCATTTACTTACATTCGTTTGCTTAGCAAATTGCTTAAGGAAAACTTTTAATTTAAATTCTTTTCATGTTTTTTCATTATATGCTTTTGCATTTAAACGAAATTTCGATCAGCTGTACTAAAAACTTGCAAGTGTTTGCTAGTTTTGCGTTCGCGTACTTTTGCAATCATTTTTCTTCTTGTGAGAGAAGAGAAAAAAATTCGTTCACGGCTAACATCGTTTTTTCGTGATAGAAGAGCAGTTACCGTTAAATAGATTTTAGTAACATAAGGGACTGATGTTTTATACTCCAAGTGAGCCTCATATATAGGCAGAAGCCACCTTAACCTAAA